GTCCAGAAGAGAGCAACAAGGCTGGTGAAGGGACTAGAGGGAAAGTTTTATGAGGAGAGGCTGAGGGAGCTGGGGTTGTTTAGCCTGGAGAAGACTGAGCAGGGACCTTATCATTCTCTTCCACTACCTGAAGGGAGGTTGTAGTCAGGTAGGGGCTGGGCTCTTTTTCCAGGCAACCAGCAACAAGACAAGAGGGCATGGCCTCAAGCTGCTCCTGGGGAGGTTTAGGTTGGATATTAGGAAGTACTTCCTCACAGAGAGGATAATTAGGCATTGGAATGGACTTCCCAGGGAAGTGGTGGAGTCACCATCCCTGGAGGTGTTTAGGAAAAGACAGGATGTGGCACTTAGTGCCATGGTCTAGCTAACGTGGTGGTGTTAGGTCATAGGCTGGACTTCATGATCTCAGAGGTCTTTTGCAGAGTCTGTGATTGTCTTTTACCCTTGAATCACATGAAAAACAGGTTTTAACTTACTGTAATTTTGTAGTTTTTCTTGCGTGGTATTGTTCAGGCATCTTTTCCACAAACTAATGGGCTATGTCATCAGTACTTCCATAAATTTTACTTTAATTAAATATTTAATTATAATGTCATTGTTTGCTAGGACCGGAGAGCGTGCCATACTCCATGGAGGCTTACTGATTATCTTGGTTGGATTCTTTATCTTACTGCCTTGGGGGAAAAAACTACCCAATATCCAGTGGGAAGGTATACAAAACTATCATCATCATGTTTTTTTGAAATCTTTTAATTGTATTCTTTTTTCTTAATGGCATGCATAACTTATTTTTACAGAAATAAAGAATAACTCCATTCCCAGAGCAGCTTCTACTGAAATTTTTATGCCTTTCTGGAGTTTGCAAGCGATGGAGCTTCCATCCAACCACACCACAGAGCCCGTGGGCTGCCCTGTCACACAGGCCTGGTGCCTGAATACTCCTATGATCTACCTGGCCCAGTATATCAGCTCTGACATACTGATAGGTTTGGGCTATCCAGTTTGTAATGTCATGTCCTACACGTTATACTCAAAAATTCTAGGACCAAAGCCTCAGGTAAGCATGATGCCTAAACAGTTTATTTCATTTGCTGTCCAGGGCTTGCACCCCCTTTACTTGAATGAAAGATCTAGTTCAAATTATTTTTGTCATTAGCCAAATAATAGTATTACCAGTATAACCAGTGCTGAAAGTTTTCAGGAACTCTCATCTCTTTTAAAATCCAAGGAATTAAAAAGCAAGGTTTGTACTACAATTTATGGCAAATCTTGCAGTGTGAACATTTCAGAACTAAACCTAAAACTTGTGACTTTCATGACTATTCTGGAAGAGTATATATATTTGGAATATTGGTATTTGATAATGTTTCTCTTAGTAAATACATGATATAAAGACTATTAACACTATGGTACCTCCAGTTATTAACATTTCACAGTGGTGAAACACATAGTAAGGTGATACTACTGCTTAACGAAAACTGCTCTTACTTTATCTCATTTTTTCCATGTTATATTTTGCTGTAAAAGACTAAATGCTTTAAGCCAGAATGCTTTTTTATTTAGAAAGCTACAGAGTATGTAGCTCAGTGGACCCTTCAAATTAATACTTAGAAAAACTAAGTGGTATCTTGGAAACAAAGTACTCAGTATCTTATGCTTTAAGACAGATAAGCAATTGCTTAAACACTTGTAAATTTCCTATTTAGGATAATTTGTGGGAATTACTGGGTAGCCAGATAATTCCTGTATCACTGACCTAAGCTTTTGTTCTTCTGTAGGGAGTCTACATGGGGTGGTTAACTGCCTCTGGAAGTGGAGCACGAATACTTGGGCCTGTTTTTGTAAGCCAAGTGTACACTCACCTGGGACCACGTTGGGCATTTAGCTTGATCTGTGGAGTAGTTGTATTGTCTCTCTTAGTCTTGGAGATAGTATACAAGAGACTAATTGCATTTTCTGTCAGATATGGAAGGATGCAAGAAGAGAATTGTTAAATATGTATTTAAAGAAAAAAAAGTAAAACCAACCAGAAATAATACTTGTGTTTATTATTGCTTTTTATTGAGGAGTACCTAACCACTGACCTTGTTGGCTGTACTTACACATTGACAGAGCACATAACTTGGTCATATCCTAATACATGGCTACACCTGCTGCAACAGAGCTTTTGTTTTCTGATTTTTTATCAGCAGAGAAAGGGATGTGAACAAGTTCAATCAATACAATGAGACATTTGAAGTGTGTACAGTTTAAATGATGCACCCGTGTGCTGAATGTATCTATGAAGGTCACAGGTTACATGCTTCCTTTTCAGAAAGAAATAGAAGAAATATTTATCTTGATTCTGTGAATCAGGATTAGTAACTCTTTTGTAACTACAAGATTAGTTAAGCTGCATGCACTTTGCCCAAAAACATTGTGACTTGAGTGAACTGACTTTGGTAGGTTGTAAGCACTGGTTAAAAAAAAATGTCTCTTTGGAAAACGTTACATGTCAGCACATCATCTCCAGGACTTCAAATGAAATGTGACAGAATCGTAGAGGAAGGCAGGTGCCCACTTCACAAGCAGTTTATGTGAGATTTGGGTATTTAAGTTGTTAAAGAGCCATTGAAAATCACAGCCATGGTGGCTGTTACTTGAATTACAGTGAAGTATATGTGAAATTTTTCTGCTGTTTTGCTGAATGCCTTTTTATAGCTAGAAGGAGAACCTGCAGAGTTAAATTATGCACAGCTTTTCCTAACTTTACTACAAGAAGGAAATGCTAAGCATGGTAGTTTACACTTGTTATTTTCGAGAATGAATGCACTGTACTGAACAGTGTTAATGAAGTAATTAAGCAGAAGGAAACTGGCTCTTCAGGTGTTAACTATTATTTCTAAACTTATTTTTTCTGATATGGTATAAGAAAAAGGAATTTACTATGTTTGAATAATTGTGTTTATTTTAAAAAGTGAAATAATTTTCCTTCATAATGGGGAATTATAACCTCACTTGTATGGGTTTAACGGTTTCAGTGCTACTTGGGGGGGAATCAGGAATAACTCCAGTTGTAGCTGCTGCTCAATGTCTATATTTTATGCTTATTGAATTTATTAAATGTAACTAAATATTCCTATGTCATCAATTGTTCAAACACTGAAAGACTACTGAATTAAAGACTATTTTTTCAATACTGATTGAAGGAAATACAGTTTTATTCTCTTGTCATGCTTTCCTGCTGCAGAATCACAAAATGTTATGAGAAAGGACTTAGCTTTCTTAAGTATTTCCCTTACATACTAATTCCTAAGACCAGAAATACTGTGTTTTGGTGGTGAAAACAGACTGCAAATTGAAGTGCTTAGAGTTAGGGTAACCAAAAATTTCTTCAGTCATGGGAATACTTGGGATATGAGAAATGCAAGAATTTTTTTAAATGGCTGGCAGGATTTTGTGTTTACAACTCTTTGTACTGCAAGTATATATGCTGTAGGGTTTTTATTACTGTTGTTCTTCAGGCTAGCTAATTTCCAACTTAAGTGAGGAAGTATTATGTTACTTAGAGGGATTAGTTTTGCTTTAACTTATTTAAAAAGTTAAGGCTGAAACAATATTCTACTCTCTTCTGCAGTGAATGGCTTTAGAAAACAGAATATCCCTTAAACAGGGTAGGCCATGCACATTAATATCTATAAATTTACATAATTATTAAAATGCAGCAAGGCTTGAAATTCTTTGGCCATGTTTTCTTGTTATGGATGAGGATCCTCTCGTTCGTACAAAACATCGTGGATTTACAGATAGGAAGATGTAATGTAACTGCACTTAAATTAGTGTTCCTCACATGCTTGAGCGTTTCTAAGCATTTTTATGCCATTCTGGCCCCAGCTGTCTACCTCTTCAACTATTTCTAGGTTTATCTTGTACAAACTATATTATGTCAGAAGATTATCAGTGTGGCAAATAATGCAGGTTTTTAATACGCAGTACTGACACATCTTCTCAAGCCCGAGTTGCTACTTTAAAAGTCAGTTGCTTTAAGATTAAAAGTACTAAAACGAAGTGTTTCCTCTAAGAGAGCTGCATTTATGTGCATATGCACGTTTGAATCTATAGGTATATTCAAAACCTTTGCAGTCTGCATGAGAGCTATGCACACTACTTGGTTTATCAAAGACTTATTTTACCATGCAGTCATTCCATCTGAATAAGGAACACTTGTCAACTGAGAGCACATTTAAAAAAATCCTTTTGGAGAATCATTTAAGGTTTGATTTTGGGTTTTTATAGTCAGCTGTAGAACAGATATAAGATACTGAATACACAAACCCTAGTGCGATCTTTCACTTCAGCAAGTTAGAAGTAACTTTGTGCAACCGTTTTATACTGTTTCTCCCCAAGCTTCACCCAGATGAAAACTAGAAACATGAGATGCTCTAAGACATTAGATCAGCTCCTGTATAAATCAAGTGTAATACTTAGAGGAAAAGGCTCTCAAGAAACTATCACTTGAACAAGAAATAAATAAACAGATCTGGAAAATTACCACTGCATTTATTTTTTTCTGTTTGTATAAAATGCTTGTGCAGGGAAGTTAAAGCTACTGCTACAAAAAATAAAAACAGTTATAAAACATATACATATTTACATATATTACTTGTAAGACGTAAAAATAAGTTATTTACAAATACAAACTCTTCCATAGCACAGATGCATTTTCCTTGATTATTGGCACTGAGTAAGCAGTGGGAGAAGAAAAAAACCCACACATTTCAAAAAAGTTGATGCTATCTAGAACTAAGTTGCTCAAAGTTTTGCTTGAGCAAGTTTATCCATCATTTTGAGGAAAAACCTGTTTTGTATGATACTGTACAAGACATTTGCTACAAAAACAGAGCAACCCTCCCCTTCCTATTTTTTTTAACAGCTTTTGGAATAATTTCTGCATAAGATGAGTAAGATCACTTCACTTGAAAGTCATAAGCTCTTGTGTCCTGACACATGTTTTCCTTTAATCACTGGGGACCAGCTGGATTGGTAAACATCACAAGAATAGAAGACAGACAGTGCAGTTTCTCCTTGATGTATTCTGGCAACTTATCGCTTTCTCCATACCTAAAAAGGCAAATAAGCATAGAAAGATGCTTGAAATAGTTTTACTTCAGAACTATTCATTATTTCAAAACTCACCTATAAAAAGGAAAAACATGTACATAGTATATCTGGACACATTAATTAAAGCTTGATGGCTTAAATCTAGGCCTTCCCTTCCCTGTATGGATATCTAACTAAAAAATTATTTCAGATTAGAAAATATTCATGGAGTGTTTAAAGCTGCAATAATACCTGAACAGACTGTATATTACGATCTCAAACTGTACAGAGGGAGTATGTCACTGAGTGGCCATACTTGTATGGAAAGTGCCCAGTAAGATGTGCAAAACTTCACCCGAGCACTTAGGTCTGTGTATCAATGTTGACATGCTATCTTCCTAATCTAGCAGTATCTTGGGGGAAAAAAATAAAATAATCAAATCCTTACTTTTCTCCCCCTCTCTCTTTTAAATACTATACATGAATAGTAGCCATACTCTGGAGGCTAAGTAGATGCATGCCCAGCTTTTCTTTATTACTTTATGATCCAGAGTTCAGTCAAAGCTGTAGGTGTATCTATTTATTAAGCTTATGTAAGCTAATCAACTGAGAAGTGATTGAAAAGCTAAATCTTAATATTAAAAAAAACCAAACAGCAGCTGTGAAGTTCACACCTTATGTATAACAGTCTTGCACTGACAGTAAACTGAGCTATTTTCACAGCAGTAAGTAACTCACCTAGTTGTCTGGCCATCTGGAGATGTGTAAGTGATAGAAGAAACACCTGCTTGGGCTACCAGTTGGGATCCATCATTAAACTGAACCCATACTGCTCCACTGGTCAGCTAACAAGAGAAGTTGCATTATTGTTTGAGGACATAAAAAAACAAGATTACATGCCTAGAATTTTTCTAACAGATGAAGCTGATTTTTTTTCAGAATTGCTAAAGTGACTTAGATATCTTGGTTAGTCTTTCACAGATAAAGATTGCATGTGTACTTCTTCAGAGTAAGTAGTCTCAAGAATCAGACTTCCTAAGGTTTCAGATGCTCATCTTCAGCCATCCTTTTCAATGACTTAGTAAGTTACCTCCAGCTTAACCACTCCTAAAGAAATGTTAAATAGGACCAAATATAAAATAGAAGGCCCATTTATGATAAATTTTAAAATGTATAATGTTAACTTTTTCTGTTAGGACAGGGAGTTTACTTTATATGGATTGCAGAGAACCATTTCTTTAAATCTAAAGCTAGTCCCACAGAAAAGCAGAAGAAAAATTTCTCTGTAAACAAACAGCTTTTTCTGCTGTAGAGGCAGATTGATTCTTCTTGTACAGCTCTGGTACATATCTGTTAAAAACACTTTGTCAGGACACCTTTACATATACATTAGTGAACAGACAAGTTTAGTAAAAAATTTGAAGCTGTTAGAGTCAATTTTAAATGACAGAAGACACTGAAATAAGCAATAACCACCACAGGAAAACTGCGATAACTGAAATACTGAACTATCATTTTGGTTTCTTCTACTTGCATAGTTCACCATGGTATTTACTTAAGACATTTATTTGGAAGGATTTTGCCACATACCAATTTTCAGATTTAAACTGTAGCAGAGCCCAAGACTGCATTCCACAAAAATCAAGTTTAAATTTAGTGACTTAAAAATACGTAGCTCAAGTTTAATAGGAAAAAAAATAACATTCTTCCCTCCTTTATTAGTATTAATATCTCACCTGAGAAGCCCAACCAACATTTTTCACAAAGACAGATTTTAAAAGTTGGGCTGAATTAGGACTGCATTCTGTTTGATGAACAGAGGAGCATGTAGTTTCAGCACTGTTAGTCACAAATGTAGACTTTTCATATGACACCACCTAAAATCCAGAAATAGACAGTATTAGCAGCCTTAACATTATTTCAACTAATTATATGCCAACTATAATGGTCAACTTCCACCTGTTTTAATATTTTCATATATACAGACAGATTTAGCCTAAATGGTTCATTTAACAGCATTACTTTATAAAACCCCACAGGATTCCATATGACTTTGAGTATTATGACAGTTTTTTCTACTACTTCCCTGTACTCACAAAGGAATCACCTTCCCTAAACAGACTTTTTCTACTTAAACCCCATTTTTCCTTCTTTGACTGTCAGAAAACCCTATCTATCTTCTGCAAAAATGTTAAGCAAACATTAGATTATAAAATAGCCCTCATTCAGATGATCACTTGACCAGTGTTCTAAAAAAAAAATTAAAATGGACATTGCTTTTAACTGGAAACTAGAATATTAATCATTAATTGTAGAGTTCTATAGCACATAAAGTCTGTTATAGGTTTAAAGAGACTAAAGTGATGAATTAAGAATAACAGGATCAAACACTGGAGGCCTTAAGGACAACACCACCACTACTGTCTAGGAGGAACATGTCTGCTTCTATAAAAGTTCTACCGCTTGGATACCTCCTCCCATAGTCACAGAGAGGAGAAATGAGGTGGTTTTGCTTAGCAGTGTTTAAGATTTAGGATTCAGTGAAAAGATGCAAGTCAAGGGATGTCTCTGAAATAGGAGCTTGGTCGCGAAAGAGATCAGGATCCAGGTCATTACAAAAACCTGAAAGAAACAACAATCTGTACCTTAGGATATACAGATATAGTTCAAGTATAAAGAAGCTAAGAGTCAAGAGTAACATGGAAAAGGCTAAACTAACTCGTGTTATTTTGCTTAGAAATACATACTTCAGAAGAGACAGCAAACAGCAAGAGTCTTACAAAGACCTAAATGTTTGCTGCATGGCAAAACAGGAATCGAGTTTGAACACTGAGCCCTTGAGTTAGACCTGTGGTGATGGGTAACTTTAAGTCAGTACAAAAATCAACAGTAGTACTGAAGCCCTAAGGAACTGTTGTTGCCATGTTCATTTCAGTCAAGTGAAAACTGGCAGATTCTGCACTAAGGACGTGCTACACTATCAAAGAACAGAGATGCAGACCCACATAAATTCAACAAAGTTAAGGTGATACAAACTCCATGTGCCAAAACTTCGAAGCCAGGTGAGGAAACTGTATCAGGGCTGTGATGCAGCAGTTGTAGGTTGGAGGGTCTTTCAAATGCTCATATCCTTTGTGACTGTCATTCAATACACAGGCCTGAGGGCACATCAGAGTTCCCCAGAACTGAAGACTGCTATGTAACAAAAGCAATTTTTAAACTATGTGCCTAGGGGGCATTTGTGTCGTTTTAGAGGATTTGGGCTTTTCAGATTACCTTAAATCCAGATGTCAAAAGTCAGTTGAAATCCAAGTTAACATTTCTAGTCAGTATATTCATAAATGGCTAATAAAAGCCTATTCCCATAAAAATGTAATTCCATTAGTTCAAATAAAACAGCAATATTTTAATTCCTACTGGACATCGGTCACCACTATGTTCTTGTGTACTTACGGAAGGAGGACAGTTAGGAGTTGGAACTGGAGTAGAACTGGCAGCTATATTTCTATCCAGTGCCATAGCTTCTTTTGGAGAGTTTGTATTGTCCAACAATGGAGATGCTACAGCCTGTGGCGATTCCGTACTGCCAGGTTTTCTAGAAAGATAATGAGACTGGTTGGGAAAAGATCTGCCCAGAAGGGACTAAAGAAACAAATGTGAAGATGTAGCTTTTCCTTCTGTTTACCATGGACTGTACAAAGCATTTGATGGCACTGCTTTCCTGCAGAACTCTTTTACATGTGCTAACTGTTAGTCTGGGTTAGCCTAAATCTGCAAGTCTATGTTGTCCTACTATCAAAGGAGGCTTTACAGGTCCAAAATAAGGTATTCATACGTGCCATCAACTTAATATTTATCTTGCTAATTACTATGAGCCCCTGTTAAGCACTCCTGGCCTCTGCCAACACCAGTTGCATAAGGCTGTGTAGTGGGAATATTCAAACGCATGAGTATTGTCAAATGAAAGGTAAATACCTTCCAACAATTATTGGAAAAAATGGAACACTTTCACTCCTTTTTTCTTCTTCCAAAACAGCAGCTTCCAGTGCAAGGCATATACGATGTCCCTGAAATTAAAAGGAGCTCGTTAAAGTTTTTAATTGAGAACAGTATAACTATTTCATGTTTATTTCATGTTTAGTGTGGCAGGTAAGCCTACACAAGGGAGTGGCTTTTTTCTATGGTACTGAGTATCAGTAAGAGCTGCATTCATGTACCATGGATATGACTCAAAATGCCATGCTAAAAGCAAGGCTCTCTTGTCGCCTCAGTACAGCTCGAATTATGCTCTTAATAATCACATCTCCTCCCCTTTTAGCAGAACTGGATGGGGAACTAGAACCCTGAAATCTACTCCAGAAAATAACCAATCACAAGGAAGACTGAATAGGAAATTTGTACTATATTTTTATTGCTTCTTACTTCATGAACAAAAAAATTACTCTTGTGACTACTAATTGAGTTACATGAAACGAGATAGAAAGCAGAGCAGGCTGACCAGTTAAACACCTGGCAGGTTTTTGTGTTAGGTTGCTTGGGTTTTTTTGTGGGGTTGTTTTGTGGGGTTTTTTTTGGGTTTTGGTTGTGTTTTGTTTTCATTTTTTATAAACCTATATAAAGCAGCTCCATCTGTTGTTTAATCATTTCACCAAACATTCAAACCTTCTTTACACACTAACAAGAATACCCTCTAACAGTCATAATTGTAAGATATTGTTACTGCTACCTCTACACTGATATTTGCTCTTCCAAAAAAAAGTCATCATTCCTCCTTATAGAGTAATGAAAAATATGAAAAAGCAACATCAGAAGCACATTTGTAAAAGAGAAACTGAATTTTCAGATGGTTGCTTTTCACTGTAAAAGATCTATATAAAATGGTTTACCTCATTTGCATGATCCATATAAGCTTGTATTTCCTTCCTCAAACCTGCTTCGCTTTCTCCTTTCAAAGTGAAGGATTTCCCTGATTTTTCAATCACACGAGTTATACCAGCTGTCTTGTGTATCTTTGCTCCTGCAAGACCATGTAAAAATGTCATTTTAATTGTATAAAATGCCAGCATCTATAAAAAACAGCTTTAACTACTGCAAGAATAAAACCACTCCTCCATAAGCTCTGTGTCTAGCAGAAATAAAAGGTCACTTCAATTGCGGCTGTGATGTTAATGGAATGGCTTCTATGGTCAAGGGCCACTACTTAAATGGTCTGAATAATGCATTTAGTACATATTTTAAGAACCACCTTTTTAAACACTAATCTGATACAAAATTAACATATCTAACACTATTGCCAAAATTTCACTAGCAGACTCCGTATTTGAGTATAGTTTTCAAAAAGATACCCAGTCCTTCAATGACAGTCCCACACTCAATCACAGAGCTGTGGTCTTTTTTCTTTTGGTCATAAATTCTGGCAGGTATATCTATGCCTGCAGCAAATCAAACTAGTTGACAGTAGTCTGCAGTAAGATTACAATCATCTGTGCTGTCTAGTTTATTAAGGGTAGAGTTGGAAAAGGCAGCCAACTGCTTTCTCCAGTGAGTGTTCTCAGTAATACTGTTACCTCAGTTAACAATGGAAAGCTTGGAGTAGGGACACACATTTCACTATGTAGATTAACTATCAAATGCAGGTGCAAAGAAGAGCTCATAAATAAGAACGAGGCATAATTTAAATAACACTTTTGCAACATGTAGTCCCTGCAAAAGATACCACAAAGGAACTAGTGAATAATCAACTCTTCTGTGAATGCTAGAAAAAAAAGGCAGAGTGGAAAAAAAAAGTTTTCCAGTGTTTTCTTCAACCTGAAGTGTTCATTGTCTTTAGGAATATTTTATATGCGGCTTTAATGACATGTTGTAACTATTTGCATACTTGCAAAAATGAATACATACCATCATAAAAACAAACTTCAAGGTCTGCAGTGGGTGAATTTTCCATCAACATGCACTTGGCATATCTTGTGTAGAATGTAACTTTTGGGGTTTTTGTTCTCACCAACTGCACAAACTTGGCTGCATACTGGTATTTTTTCCAGTACTTTTCTAAAAAAGAAAATTTAAAATCTTGGTTTTAGAAGTCCTCAGATTAAACACTGTGCACCAACTTGGAGGGAAGTATTTTTAAATATGTATGAAAATAGCTGAAGGTTGTGAGTAGTATCTAAGTACTTTACAGAAGTATGGTCAAAGAAACTGACTTATTTCCACAAACTTTTAGAAAAGCATGCATCTTCAATAACTTCACTTTAATAGCTTCAGTTAACTTGTTTCAGAGCCTAAAAAAACATAGTCAAGTGCTGCACACACCATTTAACTAGCTATCAGGGTCCAGCTGGCTTTGAGTAAAACTTGTATTTGGTCTCTAATTAACAGAGAAGTCTGCTTGTCTCAGGAACTTAGTTAGCTTCTATTTCTCAGCTACCTAGATTAAATAATCTGTCAATGCTTTCAAATACATATTTTTAACCTTCCACCCCAAGTTGTTACGAGTATTTTGAAGCACAATGTAAAGTGGGTCTTTTAAAAATGACTTGATATTTCTTGCACTCATATTTAAACAGCTTCCAATATGAATGAGCAGAGGATCATGAAAGCTTTCATTTTAATACAGTATATTGTAAAGGGATAAGTGACTCTGTATAACTTCCATGCAAAATGAATTTAAACATGTGGGTTTACACTTTCTTGTGACGTTTCAAATAGTTTTCCCATTAAACTGTAGCATGAATCTTATTCTGAAAGGAGTTTTATCTGAAAAGTAGTGGCCAAAAGCTATAAAGCTTCAAACAAGATTCACATAAAGGCACATTAATCATACTAATTTAAAAATAAATTTCAGCTTACCTGGCAAGTTGTCAAAATTATACATACAGATGTCTTCAGGAGGAACAGGAGGCCTGTCATCAAGAAGGAAACCTCTTCCTTCATTTGGATGATAAACTGCAATCTACCAAAAGGGAAAAATTTGTTTACAGTTGCAACTTACTACAGCATTTCCACCCTTACTTTTAACAGGCATGGAAATAGGTCATTTTAATTATCATAATTCACCATGAACCCTCTATTCCTCCAAGTGATTCCTTTGCAGCAGCAGTTTTTCAACAACATTTCCACTATTCCCAAAGTCAAGTCCAATTTTGCTCTGAAATAATTGCTTGCTGCCTATATTTGTATGGCTGTACTATGGGCAAAAAGTTTACAGCTATGCATATGTAAACATTGCATTTTCAAACAAATCATCACTTAAATGAAAATTTTAAAAAACCCTAAAAGAACAGAATAGTCTTAAGCCCTTATACATCAGTGAATAAACTGAAAATATACTTACCATATTTCCATCACAAGATATTCTGAGAACTTCTTTCACAAGTTCTTGTGAATGGTGATCTTTTAGAAACTCCATACACACTTCCCCAGTATCTAGAATGCTCACCTAAAATATATTAAATACACATTGCACAAAAAGACCTTTACTGTCTGCCAAGAGAAAATATAATTTCTTTCCACTGATACTTAAAAAAAAAAAAAAAGTCTTATTCCTCCTTGAATACACTGCAAACTTATAAATGCTTCTTAAGAGTAACTTTTGCTATTCCTGCTATTAAAACAGTACACTTATAACACTGCAGGTTATAAGCCTGGCCAGTGAGGGTGTGGCTTAAGTGACAAATCAAACAGAGACAGGTCAGCCCTATTGTGGTCTTTTTTTAAAAAACAAATTATGGGGGCAGGAGGAACCACAGACTTTAATGAGCTAAAGGGTGATACCAGGAACAGATCAACCAAAAAACGTACATGGTATGTATATATGCACTTACTATTTGTTATCCTAAAAAGCAATGCCCTGTCACTATTTGCAGGGAGTGACCCTAAGTATACCATATACAAAATTGCCAATATAACTTGATATAAAATTACTCTACCTTAGTTTTCCTAGAACAAGTGCCTCTAGTTTACCAAGTGATTTTTAAAAGATAGTCACACTATTTTTAATACTTCAGTTGTTTGTTTTAAGAACTGATACATACCACTGCATTTTTTGTTTTTTGCCTGATGGGTTTTAGCCTGTGAGCACTGAGAGGTGATACTATACTTCGCAGTGTAGGTTTCTGACGTGCTGGTTCTTTCCCCCACGTTTGGTTTTGTTCTGAAGTTGACCAAAGGCCACACGCAGAAGACAATGGTTGAATTTCATCAGATTTGCAGAGAACTCCAGGGACACATTTATTTGTGTTTCTCTGGTTTAAAGAATGTGGACAGTCAATGGATGCATCAGGATTCCTCATATCTTTTAAGGTATTCCACGCATTTTTGGATGCATCTTGCTGCACATCCAGATGGTATCTAAAACCTCCATGTGCGTTGCTGTTGCCAGTTAGGTCTGCAGGTGATCTCAGTGGAACTGAAAGCATAGCAAAGGTACATAATAGATTCAAAGAGTCACAGTCAGGAGAAAATACTGCTACTATGTTTTTTAAAGTTTTTCAAAATGCCATCTTAGATGGCTTATTTAAGTGGACAACGAGATTTCTTTAATTTTCAGTCCAAATCATAAGGCTTGCACTTTTCAATCAATACCAGTCTAACAAAATTCCAGTGCTACTTAAAACTGTTCAACTATTTCAGTTAGGATGGCCTTCAGTCTTAACAGATATCAAATAATTTTGCAAAGCCATTTATAAAAAAAACCCTAACATTTCAAATAGATGCTTAAACAACAATTAATTTATAACAATTTGTTTCATCTGTTGAAACACAGTTTACTTGCCATTCAGACAACCATTAGTAGCAAGCCTAAGTTTCAGCTTCTCTAACTAGTGTTTAAGCATCAACCAGAGGTTCTAGTACTCAAGATGTCAAATGCATGCTCCAAAACCCTTGTTATATTTCCAGTCACTTGTTAAAATACAAAAAAACTATTTTTATATTTCAACTTCCTGAAACTGCTGTCCTGGTTTTGATATTTAAGCTACTGGTCAACTTCCACCCCACCCACACAAGTATTGCACTCCTCCTGCCATGTTGCAGAACAGTTGAGAAAGGATAAAGAATTAAGTATTATTCAGATCATATGTCATACTATTCCAGGTCCCTGTAGACAGGATGGAAAAGAGTCCAGTAATATAAAAACAAAAAAGGCCAGATGGGATTTATTATTTAGTTTTATGATCAAATTACGTTATTTGTAAATGATGGAACATGATGCATGACAAAGAACACCTCCTTCCCTTCTGTGTCTTTTGTCCTTTTCTCCACCCCTCCTTCTGCAGCCTCATTATCTTTCTCATTCACTGAGGTCCCGTTTTCCCTTGAAGTGTATTCACACAATTAAATTAACAGGACTTTTGAGTCACCTGCCAATCTTTTATCACTTGCATACACATATTTCAGTTCATAACTGCGTTGTTATGACACATTACAGAATTGTGTTTTCCTCTTTTTCTAAAATTATTAAAGGAAGATTGACTCAATTCAGGAAGCTAAGCGTTCAAAATTTAGCGTACAAATTCTTCACTCCTATGAAGGCATATGGTTCGTTATACCAACCCAACAACTTAAAAGGAACACCAACTACAAAACCTTCTGAAAATTAATTCCTACCTCAGGAAACTAAAGTGTTACAGCTTAGTTCAAAAGCAAGAACAAAACAATGTTGTCACTGGGATACTTTTTGCTTGAGAATGATTCTACAGATGACTGATGCTGGAAATAATTTTGCCTCTTTCAATATCTCTGTCAATTTTTCTGTAGTGAAAATTAAGATGCTGGAATAGGTAGCCAAGGAAGTTGTGGCTGCCCCATCCCTGGAAGTGTTCAAGGCCAGATTGGATGGGGCTTGGAGCTACGTGGTCTAGTGGAAGGTGTTCCTGTTCATGCAGGAGGGTTGGAACTAGATGATCTTTAAGGTCCCTTCCAACCCAAACCATTCTAAGATGCTTCTAAGACAATTTAGGGTGCCCTATGATTTTCATTCAGAAAAAAGTCTGTCTGTAGTAGCCTCTTATTTTGGATACCAGCATCATCCTCCAGTTCCAGTTACTTGGCCATACATATATACTTTCTATCAAAAGCTTAAAGAAATCTAATACAGGAAAACCCACAGGAATCACTACTCCAACTTGAGTGCAAAAACACACAACTGTTTAGTAACACACCATTTGTTTGCATGCTTCCAAGCCACTGCTGCATTGTCTCAGCCTGAGACTTTTGCTCTAATAATCCGACCTGGGGCTTCATTGGGCAGAGATAATTTGAGCTGAAAAATAAAAGTTACACATGTAATCAAGATGACATCAAAGACACACAACAAAAATTATGTTACAGCTGCAGAATTGGAACTGACATAAATGAACAAAAAGAGCCACTGATAATGCTGCCAGCAGCAGTTGTTCTTACTTCTAGTTCTTCAATCTAGTTCTTAAGACCTATTAGAATCACAGTAAAGAGAACAACTTCAGAGGAGACACAGGGATGACACCCATGACCTCAGTGGATCTCAATCAGCATAACAAATATGCAGCTAAAATATATAGGCCATCTTATGACCCAAAATAATTTGATTTTATATACAATACAGTAAATCCCCAAGATTATTTTAAAAATGAGCAGGTTTTTAGACAATATACTTGTATTTTGTCACAGGTCAACTGAACATGTTGAAAAATAAAGACCACACAACAGTTACTACAGAGTCACTGATCTGTTGTAAATTCACACTAAGCTCCTGTGAGGTTTTCTGTCTCCGTAGCCTGTACCCATCTGTACTTTCTTTTTGCAATGATCACTACTTAACATTGGCAAGGAGTCAATTATCACTAAAAAATCCCACAAAAGAAAATAATCTAATTTATGTCTTAGAACCTCGCATTTGAGATTGCTGTGCAGGCTAGGTAAAGGTTTAAGGGGCTCTCCTATAATCGTTCATGTAAAAAAAGTAGCAAATGTTCAGTTAACCCCCACATTCATATTAATATTCTGTCACATTTACATTCTGCATATCTTTATGAAGCCATGGGGGAATACAAGTAAACATATTAACATTTGCATATATACTTTCTTTTCTTCAAATATTTCTCAAACGAAAAAGAACACACATGCCCATTGAACTTGCTGAACAGGGGCTTATGTCAAACACTTGAGAACAGTCAAGAAAAACCTCTTAACTGCATTAAGTTTTTTTAAAGGGCCAAGTGTTTATTTGCATTTTCTCTGAACTGACTTGCCAAAAGAAAAACATACGGAACCATTAAAGTTGCCACTTCTTAATGCGGAGAGATATGCAAGAACTAAGATATGCCATAGTCCTCATATTAAAATAGCTAAGTCTCGATATTCTTCTGATGGAAAAAAAACAAACTTCCAGGCATAGACAGACTAGGTCTATCACAAAGAAGGCTCTTGTTGCATAGCAGTGCACAGGGGGTAAAGATGATGCTTCCAACACCACAGAAAATATCCTAGTACCACTCGTACATTTGGCACACAAGTTGGTTTGTATCAGCTGGGGAAGTCCATCAATGTATAGAAAGAGGCCAGGATTTTCAGCCAGAAACTACTACGAAGGACAGAAGTAAGTTTCAGATAGCCATTTTAAAGTTTTGTTTCCCTCTCTGGTATTCCAGTTTTGTAATCTTATCGCCTTATCTTGTACTTAATTTGTTTTGTTGGTGGTGTTTTTTTTTTCCTTGACCCTGTCTAAGCATAAAAGAAAAAAACACCACCAGAGCAGCAAGTAAAGACGCTGGCAGTCACGCTCTGAATGTCTTCTACCCTAGTCTTTGTCTCTTCTACAAAGAAAAAGCAAGGCTCTCTACTACAATTACTGCAGGGAAAGAAATACTCACCTTTCTGCACACAGAAGGAAGTCAATACCAGGATAAACACAAGCTACCATCTAGCTAGCTGATGCACTGCATTTATGAACTTCAGGGTAGGGACAGTGTGGAGGTAAACCACTACATACCAACAGCATCATCACCATCTCTTATTTGGTATTCAAGCTCCCAGCGTTGAGGCTTTGGGCACTTACTATTGCTTAATTAAAGGAAAAATTATGCATTTAATATATAAGGCAGCTTTAAATTTCATCTTAATAAAAACTGATGCTTACTGTGGTTGATCTTTTACAGGTGGAGATATTGGCCCTTCAAAAGAACCAGAACCACTGGAAGTCTTCTCCTTAAATATTTCTCCTATATCAGTATAGCTGTTTGCAGGTGTACTTTCCCTTGTTCCTGCTTTAGGCTTGGAAAGCAGTTCCACAGAGTGACATCTCTCAATAATATTCGATATGCCTTGAGTGTGACTATGGGATGTGCCAGACCTATCTGAAGAGTGGGCCCTCCGGAGGTAGCGTGAATGTGGTCTCTCTTCAGCAAGCTGCATGGCTCTTCCCCTGCCAGTTACACCCATTTCTTTTCCCTCAATTCCCCACTGATGAAAAGAACCGCTTCCATCTACCGATGAAGGATTGCTGGAATTCTTGGTTTTAGGAAAAAAGGTAATTTTATTTGGGAGTGGCTGCCCAACTAACAGCTTCTTCTTTTCCTTCAAGCAACTGCTGGTGCTGATGCTGGAAGAGCCTGTGAAAGTTGTAGAGATGGTAGCATTTCCACTGTCCATCGAATCTTCTGAAGTTCCCGAATCTTTGCTCCGTGCAGAGCTACACCTCAACATAAAAGGATGATCCAACACTGAGGAAAGACTCAAGCGATCTGCTGGATTTTTGCGAAGTAACCTATGTATAAGGTCTTGTGCCTCCCTTGATAAGAAGGCTGGCATTTCATAGTCTGCTAACACTACTTTGTTCAGTGTGTTCTTGACTGTGTCAGTGTCAAAAGGTGGCTTTCCAATAAGAAGAGTGTAAAACATACAGCCCAAAGACCACACATCAGATTCAAGTCCATGTGGACTCCTTGTGGCTATCTCTGGAGAAATGTAATTTGGAGTTCCACACATGGTATAATGCTTTTCATGAGGCATTTTCAGCTGAGTTGCTAGTCCAAAGTCAGCAATCTTGACATTCATATTATTGGTGAGCAAGATATTAGAAAGGGTGAGGTCCCGGTGCAGGATTCCATGAGAATGCAGATACAGCATACCCGTGATAATTTGGTGCAAGAAGTGTCGAGCTAGTAAAACAAAAAATTATACGTTTTAGTCATATAATGGAAATCATAGCTGTTAAAATAACTTCCTGAAGTCTGCTATTGGTCTTGCTATGGTTTTTTTTTTAATTACAAGGATGTTTTAAGTGTCGTGCTAATGAGATGGGAATTAACTTTCTGCTTTTTGCATGACTGTTTTCTAAGTTCCTAAAAAGTATTCTATAATGCAGTAATCAGATGTGTTTCTTTGCTAATAGGAAATAATGTAAACATGAATAGAAATGCATGTTTCCATGTAAACAGGAATAGAAATACTTGCAATTGGCCTAAACTCTTTAAAAATTAGGTTCTTCAGACTTAGCTGTTAACCCACATTCGGACACCACAAGTACACGAAATTAAGCTACTTCATGATGTGCAGATTCTAAAATGTAAAAGACCCTTTGGATTATATTTGTTTTATCATTAGCTAACTGGCAAGGCTACTAACATTCCAATTTCTCAAAAACATCTAAGTTCACTGATTTGGATAGTCTTCTTCTATATTACATTAGAAATTCAGGGAATATTTAAGAGCTTCAAATTACAGCAGAAATAATAAAACCTCATCCAGGCTGAAACAGCATCATTTATTATGATGTTGCAATTGCAGCAATTTAAAGAATTATTCTTTCTAAAGCAAACAATTTACAGCCCTCTTCTTTCTTTTATCAGAGAGCAAAGACCAGTGAGTAACAAACACCACCCCTCAAAGTAAGATAATTCTTTGTCCAGATCAGTGTTTTACCAGCTTTTAGAACTAAGATACCATCTTTGCTGGAGCAGATCTGAATTCAACAGATGATGCCTGTACAGCAGTACCCCTTTAATCCAGACCTGTGATCTGGGTTCCAAAAAATCCACAAACATAAGTAGTTTCACAGAATTAGACTAGAAACTGATAGAGAAGATAGCAAACTGGCAGAACTGTGCAAGGGATGACCAGCATGGTATCTCTGGAAGCAGCAGAGGCAATCCTACCAAATCCAGATTAGCTAGAACAAGAAGAGCTTGTTTGACTGTGCCTACAGACATTACACAGAGCAGTATGGATGGTTGGTTGTTTTTTTTAACATTACACAGAGCAGTATGGATGGTTGGTTGTTGTTTTTTTTTAATTGCAGTGTTCTGGTTAGGCTTTCAGCAGCCTGTGTTCTAATTGAAATCCTCTCACTCTCAACTGTAAGAAAATGAAACATTATTTTCATTTATGAATTTACTAATCCTTTTTCCAAGACTTCTTTCCTGACACACTAATCTACAGAGTAACATAGACACTTTTAAAAAGTTTTAGCATTACTCTGATGAACTCCCAATGAAAAATAGGATTTTCAGTGCTTTATGTAAGAAACTGAGATAAAACCATAAAAGAATCTCTCCTCAACTGCCAGTACATCAAAAATTTTTGATGGAGTGTCAAATTGGATATTTCCTTGTTATATCAGCCTTTAAGCAACACAGTCAACTACATCACCTTCATTTCCATACACAGCTTGGAACACAGTACGTATTTCCAACTACCACACAAGGCAAGTATAACCTGGGACACTTTCTGATTGGTGATATGTAAGACAGTAATTCCATGGTGAAGAGGTGCAACACAAAGGCCATACATCTGTGGATGTGAAATTGACAGCTTTCCTCTGTGGAACATCCCAGTCTTGACCTATATTGAAGCTTTATTGAATGTACAAAGATAAGCTCTAGCTTCTGTACACCTCTGCCTTCTAAGTGCCCTATGTTTTTAAACCCCAAATAGCACAAGCTATTGTAAAAGAACATAAACACAAACAAAAGATAACGTAACTCAACTGAATATATGTGTAATAGTAATTCATCTCGAGATTATAGTTTATCACAAGATTTTAAGCTATACAAACTGGTTCAGAGTGACCGCAGTTTTAAGTATCTTTTCACTGTAATTAGTTACTGAATAAACCAAAACATTAAAGCAAAGAGCTATGCTGAAAAAAGATCTCACCTTCATCTTCTGAAAAGGGTTTCTTCTTGTTCTTTAGGTATCTGCTCATTTCACCATTGTGACACATCTCAAGTATCAAGTATACATAGTTGCTATCTTCAAAATAGTTATAAAGCTATAACATAAAACAATGAAAAGCTTAAAATCCATTTGGTAGAGTATACAAGCCACATAATGCAGTCCTCTCTACAGAAACATCATTCTTACCTCAAGTATAGATGGATGCTTTAGCTGACAATGTATTTTCACCTCATTTTGGACCCTCTGGACCATTCCAACTTTGTGCATGGCTTTTTTATCTATCTGTAAATGGATCACAGAATATTTTTCAAGCACTTCAACACTGATTACGTACATTTGAGTTTCAAGTGACCTTGACATTTTAGGTGTTCAATGCACATCTGCATGAAAACTTCTAAATATAAACAAGTTTCATATAATTTAACCTACTATGTAGATTTAATGAGCAAGTATTGTAGATAAATGGCAGAACATACAACTGACTGAAAAGGGATGAGCTTAACATTTTCAATACTAATACTAATTAGAATTTTATTTTTTTTTACATCCTTTAGCAGAGAAACCTAGTTCTGATTTTGCCAGCCAGATATGCTAACTATAGTTAACACTAAAAGGGTGTTTCAAGAAAAGTATTATCAATAAGGCAAAGCGCCTGCAATGTGAAAAATTCCTTCAATAGTTTCTCCTGGTAGCAAGGGAAATTTTCCCAGGTGTTTTGTCGAGGACCTTTCAAGCCATATAAAGTCTAAATTAAATCACCTGGGGTCACAGATTTCTGAAACAGAATTATAAGGCAGATGAATGTTACATATTAGCTGTGGTTCTTTTAACAGGACGGTAAGTATTTACATGAATTATCAATAGTCTATTGGGTTGTACTGCATCTCTCAGGAACAAATCCTAATCTAAATTTCAGTTACATTAAAAAAGTCCAGGCATGAATGCCCAACTGTATAACCCCAACCTGTTGCAACTTGCCCTTGTCCAGTCCCTCAGAAGACTGAGACTTCCTTGGCTAGCTTCCTTACCATTTTGATAGCCACTTCCAGACCCGTTTTCAGCGATACTGCTCTGTAGACTCCTGCGAAGGAGCCCTTCCCCAGGAGGTTCCCCACCTTGAAATCCTGCAACACCAGCAAAAAACCAAAAACCACCAGCAGCCTCTGCTCCGGGCTCCGAAGCCTCTGTCCCGACGCAGAGCACTCTCCCTAGCAGACGGGGCAAACCCTTGGGGGGCCGCAGGGAGTACCTGGATGGAGCTCGGCGGGGCGCGGTGGGCGGCGGGGCCGCTCAGAGCCCCCTGCGGCATCGTCCTCCCCGCACAGCGGCCGGCTCGCTCTGGGAACCGGCGGCGACCCGGGGCGGGGCGATGGGACGCCACCGGCCACCTTCCCGCCGCCTCTCCC